TCGCTTAAGTTTAATTTAATATGTATTATAAAATAGTTTTGTACTTATTTACCCCCCCCCCCCAGTCAAGTTTTTGGAAAAATAAACGTGTTGGTCAATCCGAAAGCTTTGAAATTTTGGATATTTATTTTTTAGAGTACATATGGCTGTTCTTTAGTATAGCTACACCGAGATCGAAACTTGAAGTATATACCATTCGATTCGTCTCTCCGAGCTGAGTTCAAATATGCAAGAATTTTCTGCGGGAGACGAAAACTCGCAGAGATACAGGCCCCCGAAAATTGAAAAACCATAGGGGGGACCAAGCACTTTTTTGGGGTGAAAAATTCGAATTTGCAAATGATAGATCATTCGAAAGAGCTCCTCGAGCTGAGTCGAATGACACCAAAATCAATGAAATCCGACTTGATTTGACAATGTTATGACCGTTTGTTTTAGCTCCTTACCTATGGCATATGTGAAGATTTTTGCTGCTACGGAGGCCCCAAATACGTCCAGAGCAAGGGAGATAGGAATAGGTTTATGTTACGAGCCCAGACCCATCGCCCGTAGACTCCCCGCGAGGCGCGTGCCGCAAAACCCCGCGCGAAGCGCGGGGTTTTGCACAAGCGCCTCGCCGACGCTCCATAGGTTTAGGTTTTTGTTTTTTGTATCATAACTTTGTCTAATCTTGTTCAATCACGGTGATTTTGGTGTCATTCGACTCAGCTCGAGGAGCTCTTTCGAATGAGCTATCATTTGCATATTCGAATTTTTCACCCCAAAAAAGTGCTTGGTCCCCCCTATGGTTTTTCAATTTTCGGGGGCCTGTATCTCTGCGAGTTTTCGTCTCCCGCAGAAAATTCTTGCATATTTGAACTCAGCTCGGAGAGACGAATCGAATGGTATATACTTCAAGTTTCGATCTCGGTGTAGCTATACTAAAGCGACCCCGTACATATTTTCTAATAGATCAAAAATTTGTTGTTGAAAACGATTGTAAATTCGCCCTAAACGCATTTTTTAACATTACGTAAAATCATTCGATATCTGATTTATCTTAACTTGATGAAAATTCTATTCTTTTAATTTTCTAGTTTTCCCTTCTAAATTACCGCTTGTAAAAACAATTGACAAATCAACATTAAAATATCCAAAACACAATTTTGTATCAGAATTCGACTGTGTGTTTTCATTTCTTTTGGTGTTTTAAAAATAATTAAAATAATCAGAATAATATTTAAAGGAAAACCAATTAATAAACAAACAAAATAATCTAATTTAAATAAAATATCAAGTATATCCAAGGACATTTTTTTGAATTTTTTTAGTAGAGCTGCTTTGTCTAAATTTTTAAATGTTTATTTAAAATGAGAAAGCGTCTAATATCAACATTAAATTCAGAGAATTCCTTTTCTTTTAATTTTACTTTAAATTTCAATTAAAAATTAGCGAAAATGTCTCAACTTTTTACTTCGAGAAAAACTAAATTTAAAAATTCTGTATAATTATTAAATAATGTTTATCTTATTCTTTTAATTTACAGGTGAAATATTTATTTAAACTGAAAAAGCGTCTAATATCAACATTTTTACCTGTAAATATTTAAATTCAGAGAACATATATTTTTCAATACTTTTATATAATTATTAGAAAAAGAATAATTAATTATATGTTAAGTTTTTTTTCTTTAAATTTCAATTAAAAATTAGCGAAAAAGCCTTAACTTTTTACCTCAAGCTAAAATAATTAAAAAATGTTTACCTTTTTAATTTTAAATTAAAGGTGAAAATTTGTTCAATTTTATGTTGACATATGGCAAAAATTTCTAATGAAATTTTTTTAATAAAGTACAAATTTACGTATTACATACATAATTTAAAACCTTTAAGTATTTGCAATAAGAATATTATTGAAACAATGTCTAAAACAATAAAATAAGCCCACGATTTAGTGTCAGGACTTCCGATAAAATTTTAATTGCAGATTTCGGGAATCAGGTCGATATACCCATGTCGATATACAGAAGGAAGATGAGGCAATTTTAAAAATCAAAAATTGGTAATATTCAATTTCGTTCCCCCCTCCTTTTTTCCTTCCTCAAAGTATTACAAAATGGTCAGTCAGTCTTAAGTTATAGAACTCGTCGTGCTGTGTCGAATGACACCAAACTTGAAAAAAATCGGACCTGATTTGACCGAGATACAGACCCCTGAAAATTGAACAACCATAGGGGCGATTTTTTGGAATAAAAAAATTTACCCAAGTGATAGCTCATTCGAAAGAGCTCGTCGAGCTGAGTCGAATGACACCAAAATCATCGTGATCAGACATGGTTTGACAAAGTTATGACATTATGTAGACCTAACGGAGTCGGCGACTTATGTCATAACTTTTTCAAATCTTGTCCAATCACATTGATTTTGGTGTCATTCGACTCAGCTCGACGAGCTCTTTCGAATGAGCTATCATTTATATAAATTTTGGTACCTATGGTTTTTCGCCCCTATGGTTGTTCAATTTTCAGGGGTCTGTATCTCGATCAAATCAGGTCCGATTTTTTTCAATTTTGGTGTCATTCGACACAGCTCGACGAGTTCTATAACTTAAGATTGACTGACCATTTTGTAATTCTTTGAGGAAGGAAAAAAGGAGGGGGGGGGGAACGAAATTGAATATTACCCAAAAATTTTATTTTCCATCCAATTCGAGGTTGTTAAAATTTTTAATGTTTAAATCAGGGTTCGCATTCCTACTTTTTTAAAAGTATTCTACTTTTAAATCGACCTCCATGCTTACGAAATTGAATTTATACTTTTTTGAAAGTATATACTTTTTTTTGATTGAAAATGAAATTGGGGAAGGGATTGGGCAAAAAAGTGAATTTTTTTGGCCTACGGCCTTTGAAATTCTCAAAATTTTCGCCTGCGGCGAAAGAAATGGAAGAAATTTGGCTTAAGGACTTCCAAAATTCTCAAAATTTTCGCCTGCGGCGCAAAAAATATATTTTTTGGCGCCTTCGGCGCCACAAAAGGTGCATTGAAATTGACAAAATGCTCAGTTGAAACAGGAAATTATTAGAAAAGATTCATTTAGGAGAGAAATATAAAAGATTTGAGAACGAATAAATATTTTCTAATTTAATTTTGAGACTACTTTTTTTTTGCAAATTTTCTCCCTATATACTTTTTTATCGAGATTTTGATACTCTTGAGTGGCATTTTGTCGATGCGAACCCTGGTTTAAATTAATATCGTAATTTAAAAAATTTACGAGTATTCGGCTGTTAACCATTATAATTAAAATTTAAGTGCAATAAACCATTCTCAAGGTTTCAAAATGTTTAATTCTTGTAAGAATGTAGTGCTTATTATGGCTCCTAAAAAGAAAATTTTCTATTGTAAAAAATGGAAAGAAATACTAAGTGAATTTTTAAAAAATAATCTTTTTTGAAAAATAAAATTGAAAACTATAGAGAAGTAATAAAAACTTAAATTAACCTAAAACCTTCCAGGATCTCTTCTTCTCAGTTTACATATTTAAATAAATTTTCTTTTCTACAAACTTAATTCTTTTTGACATTTACCGTTGATTGTATAGATGGCTGATTAAGGACGTTGGGAAAGAATATTTACAACATTTAATGCTCTTATGAAATTTTATTAAAGGGCATTCTTCCTTTAACTTACAAGTCTGTTGCCACACCTACATATTTGTTTCTACATATATATATTAAAAAATTATGGCATTTCTCCAATTAAATTCAGTTTTCATAATTTTTCTTGTGTTTTTTATTAATTATAAGTAGAGTTGATCAAAACGATACTGGTATCGGCCAATCCGAGACCGAGATTGACCGAGACTTATGAACCCGATACCGAGACCGATACCATCATTTTGAGCCGAGACCGATACCGAGAAACGATACTGACCGATACTAACAGAAATTTTTTATTTTATGTCAAAAAATACGTGTAAAAATAAAAAATTCATTATTTTCATCATCAAAATCATCAGATAAATACTCTTCACCATCTGGATCCGATCAGGCTTGGCAATGGATACAAATTTTTATCCGTGAGGTCGACATATATCCGTGAGGTCGACATCCGTATCGGATTATATCCTTACAACTTTTGAGGCATATCCATCCGCGGGTATCCGCGGATGGTCGAAGTAAAAATTTCATTTACCAAACCATTATTTCAGCGCCGTAGGCAAAAATTTTTAGAATTTTAGAAGTGCAAGTAACAGATTTCTTCCAATTTTCAACGCCGCAGGCGAAAATTTGAGAATTTTGGAAGGCCATGAAGCCAAATTTCTTCCAATTTTTGCCCTCAGATACGCAAGTTCAATGCGCTCATCCCTGCTTTCGATCATTTTAAATCCCCTTAATCCACTGGTGGGAACAATAGTTGCCGAAAATCGGAAGGATCTGTAATCAAAATCTTGAGAATCTAACGGCCGAGGCTCGGAAAATTCAAAATTTCGGCGCCGCATACGAAAATTTATTAAATTTTGGAGGGCCAAGATACCAAATTTCTTCTTTTTCAGAGCCGCAGGCGAAAATTTTTTGAATTTTAGAAGAACTTTTTCGAAAAAAAATTCACTTTCTCTGTTATGGACGGATATTCGAAAAAAATTATGGACGAAAACTTGGACAATATTGAGAATTTTGATTCTTTGAGTCAGTATCGTTTCTCGCCGAGAAATGGACCGAGAATATCGGTATCGGTTTCGAGACCGAGATTGAAAAAACCGAGACCGATATTGGAAAAAAGCCGAGAATCTCGGTATCGGTCTCGTCTTGATCAACTCTAATTATAAGTTAATAAATTTTGATGATAATTTATCAAATCTGCAATACTTCCCCAATTTTTCATTTAAGTTTTTCAAAATTTCTGCAAGTCAGCTAGTTTGTATGGTTTAAGACGTTTTTAAAGGAAATTAATAATAAAAACTGAAAAAAATCTTTTTAAATAGTGCCAAAAAAATTTTCTTTAGAATCTCTAAAATATAATATGGCGATATTTAAAAAACAACAGACACCAACCTTAACTGACAGTACAGAAAAAATTTATAAAAAATTACCTAATGAATTACTAGTCGATATATTCGATTCAATAACTACTGAGGTAAAATTTTTTTGATAATATTGAATTCCGTACCCCCCCCCCCCTCCCCCATTTTTTTTCCTTCCACAGAGTGCTCTTTTGCGATTCTTTACTCTGGCGATAAGTAACCGGGTCTTATTTTTAAAACCAAGCCAACGTCAGATGTTTATGGCACAATTTTATAAGTACATTATTCCCATAAAATTTTTAGGCATGGAGATCTTTATTTATCCAGTTTTGGTATGCACATAATACCAGAACATTTGTTTTAAAAAGCAGAACTGGGTACTTATGTGATAATATATTATTACATTGTAAGGTTTCTAACACATTAAACAAGTCCATTTTTCCACTTTGTGAAAGGGAGAAAGAGGGGGGGGGGGGTAAAAATTCAATTTTACCAATTTTTTTAAAATAAAATTACAATTAAAAATAATTATATTATAATTTGAAAACTAAGGAAAAAGTCGGTTCTGTGCCCCTCTTTTTTCTCATTTTTACTTAATTTTTGCACCACAGGAGAAAATTAAAAATTTTTTTTATAAATTTTGTATGAGTAAGAGATCCATTTCTTTAAAAATATTACCAAATTTTTAATAATAAATAAGTTAATAATAATTTATTTTGCTAATGGAAAACAATTATTTCTAGTTTAATCAGTACATGATTATATAAGAATAGGGACAACTTAAAATTTTTTACAAATTAAAAAATAAGTTGGTTAAAAATAGAGCCCACCCTAATTAAACCCGTAATGAATGATGTCCGCACCTTGGCCTTATTATGTAATTAATTTAAGGAATTCTGGAACATCTTTTACCCATTTTATATGAGGGACAACATTTTAACAGATAATGAAAATGAATTGATTAAACAACACAATATCACAACAAAAAATAAAAATCGAGAACCATTTAAAAAATGGAGTGAATGTGTTAAAAATTGGCTAAGCTCTTCGGCAATAATTTTCATTCTCGAACGAGAAACCTTCAAAAAAAGACATGTAAGAAATAAATAATTAAAATAATTAAAAATATCTAAGTATAAATTAGAGGTCGGCGCGGGACGGGATCCCGCGCGGGATTTTGCGGGGTCCCGCTCCCGCAATCCCGCACTTTTTTCGATTTGCGGGATTTTGCGGGATGCGGGATTTTGCGGGATTTTTCCCGCGGGATCCCGTCCCGCAAAGATTTTTTTAAAAAATCCCGCAAATTTTTCCCGCAAAATTTTTTGACTTTTGCGGGATTTTTGGAAAATGGAGAATTTTTGCTCCTAACCTTCTAAACTCAAAAAATTTTTGCCTGCGGCGCTAGAAAAACAAGAATTTTGGTCGTTGGCCTTCCTAAAATCTCGAAATTTTTGCCTGCGGCGCAGAAAAAGGAGGGAATATGAATACTTGGCCTTCCAAAATTTTCGCCTGCCGCCCATGGAATCATCTTTATTACATCGAAACAAAATTGTCCACATTGTTAGATCAAGATGATTGATCGATCACATTTGTTTCAGCTCAAGCTATTCTAATTCGTATACTCGAATTTTCCGACGAATATGTATAAGTTTGCCCTTTATGTTTTTTTTTGATAATTAGGGACCTGGATAAGTGCTTATCGTTTGTACCAACATGTACTCGTAATTTGGTACGAAGTATGATACAGTTAAGAACCCGTTAAGAACTCGTTAATGATTAGGAAATTGATTTTTTTCAATAGATATTGATAATTTCAACGATTTTTGGAAAATCCCGCAATCCCGCGCGGGATCCCGCAAATTTAAATTGCGGGATTTTGCGGGATGCGGGATTTTGCGGGATTTTTCCCGCGGGATCCCGTCCCGCAAAGATTTTTAAAAAAAATCCCGCATGCGGGTTCCCGCAAACGCGATTTTGCCGACCTCTAGTATAAATATCGGGAATAGGTTACAAAAAAATCTGAAACAATGCCAAAACATTCAAAAATACCCTCTCATCCGAAAAATAAATTTGTAGTTCGTATCCAACACCATTCCATAGCTCTTATTTTGGATCTTGAAACCATCTAGAACCGCTTAGCGAAATTTTTGAGAGGTCTTCGGTAATAATAACCGAATTGAAGAACCGAGCCTCTTTTGGTTCTGTTGACATCGACAATTTTAAAAAATCTCGTCGAGAGTTTAGCGTGTCCGGTAGTCTCCAGGCTGTGCGCCATGGCGTTTTGGCGTGGCGTTTGGCGTCCATTTTTGGCCAATTTTGGCGTTGTGGCGTTTGGCGTGTTTTTCCTATTTTGGCGCGCCAAAACGCCATTATTTTTACACCTCTAATGATGGAAATTTGTTAAATAAATGGAAGGATGATTATCAGAAAAGAAATTTTTCTACCCACAGACTTCCGAAATTTTCATAATTCTCGCCTGCGGCGCTTAAAAAAGGAAATTTTCTGGCTTAGCATCCTCCAAAATTCTCAAAATTTTCGCCTGCGGCGCTGAAAAAGGATTAAATATTACTTCTTGGTTTTTGTGTGTGCTATCGAGGGATTGAGTTGTGTAAACTAGATATCAGGATGTGTAAACTAGATAACTAGATACATCAAATCGCTTACATGATATCGCTTTAAATATTTGATTCCTTGAAAGTGTCCTCAATAAGAACCTAATTAAAGGGAGGTATCGTGACTTATAATTAGAGCGTGTTTTTTTAGGTCCAAAAAATCGTGAAATAGGATCCTATTTAGGTCCAAAAAATTTCCAAAATAGGTCCAAAATAGGTTGAAAAAGGCCTAAATAGGTCCAAATTTTGACAAAATAGGTTCTAATTTTGGTTGAAATTAAAACATTTATGACATCACATTTACTAAATCTGAACTTTTTTATAATATTTTTTAATTTTAAATAGATATTAATCGAAATTTGAGTGATTTAACAATGCCTAACCCTAAATACAGTAGAATTTGAAGGGATTGAGTGATATAAGGGGAGTCGACGGGATAAAAAGGGATATCGGTGGATTTGAATTGAATAGGGATTTATTGGGTTAAAGGGATTTGGATAGGCGGGGGAGTTGTAGCATTTAATTTTGATATAGAATGATCAAAGAAATATCTTTGATACAGCGTTATATTGTGAGATTTTTTCGCTTCAAATCCACCTAGAGGGATTCTGAGGTATACAAGGAAAGAAAAATTAAAAAATGGTGTAGGCATTAAAGTTCAATAGTCAAGGAAAATCACTGAAATGTCTAATATAAATGTTAACCTGGCAATTTTCGAGGGCAGTTCTTAGTACGATGGCAGATTCTAGTTCCTACTAAATGTAGATATACCAGAATACTAGCGCCGCAGGCGAAAATTTTTGGGGTTTTGGGTGTCTGAGATGCTAGATTTGGCGAAAATTGACTAAAAATAAGCAAATTTTAAGAAAAATTTTCAAAAAACCTAGAATAGGTCCAAAAAAGGTCGAAATAGGCTCAAAATAGGTCTTAGGTCCGAAAAGGCCGAAATAGGTTTTTTAGGTTTTAATAACTCGAAAAGTACGTTACACTATGTGGTAAAACAGTGTTTTTTCGACTTAACTCATCAAGGGCTGTTCGCAAAAAAAATAGGTAAAAACCTAAAAAAACACGCTCTACTTATAATAGGTTTTTTGTTTCTGGTTTGGACAAAGGAAGTGTCATTCGAATGAACTCTGAAAAGCTGATTTTTGTGGTGAAAAATTCAAGTATATGTACAAATGATAGTTCATCCGAGTCAGCTTGTGAGCTGACTCGAGCTCTACGAGCTGAGCCTCCCTATGATTTTTCAGGAGCCTTTAATTCGGACGAAACGACCTATGACGAGAAGGACCTTTGACAAGACTAATTCTGACGAAAATCCCCTCTGACGAGACTACTGAGCACCGATTTCAGTACCCTTTTATGTTATTTTCAGTTAAAAATATGTTTTTACCGGGCGATTTTAGATTTGAACTTAATAAATTAAAAAAAGATAAACAGGAATTACGGGATTGATCCGGCGGGATCCCATTCATTATATTTTGTATAAAATACATTTCCGGGACCGCAGATTTGCGATTCTGTTACATTCTTTAAAAAACCGAAGTAATTTAAATAGGTGCTTTTTGGCGCAATCTTGGCAAAATATATCTCGCCATGCAATCACTTAGTTAATTTCTTTTAATTTCCAAAGTAAATTTCCTGAGTTATAAATGATAAATTTTTTGTTTGTTTTCAGTTAAAAATATAATTTTTTAATTTCAAATAAAGAACGAACAAATGAGCAACAAAAACTTAGTAAAAATAATTGAAGAACTTCAACTAGACAAACAAGAACTTCAACAAGAAAAGCAAGAACTTCAACTAGACAAACAACAACTTCAACAAGATAAACAACAACTTCAACTAGACAAACAATTGTTGCTTTATAATATTAATCTAAAAAACAATATTATTACAAAACTTTCCGAAAGAATATCGCTTGAGGAGAGTGTATCGCTTAACGCTATGTTTCAAAATTTTAAATTAATCAATAATGACTATTCTGAAGCCCTTTCTAATGAAAGAAATATAATTGATCAACAAAAAATTAAAATTGATCAACAGCAAACCAAAAATAAAGAATTTATGAGAAGAATCATTGATTTGTCGGTTGGAGTTGATTATTGGAAGAAAGCTGGGAAAACATCTGAAGCAGGGCTCAGTGAGGGTACTTCAGATGGTTTTAAGGTTTTTTTCGTAATATGATGGCATGGTCCGAATTATTTTAAATTATATACCATTAGATTCGTCCCTTCTAGATAAGCCACAATATAAGTTAAGTCTATTTTGGACTTTATTTATGTCATCGAAAGAGCTTCTAGAGCTGTCGAATAACACCGAAATCGTGTGTTATTCGACGAGCCCTTTCGAATGACATAAACTTTCCAAACCAACTAGGCCGTTTTATGATATCAATAAAAGTCTTTGAAGTTATTAAACCATAGGGACCATTTGATTTTCGTTCCTATATCATAGGACCTTTATTTATCTGAAACATTTTTTCCCTAGAGAATGACCCCTAACTCAAGATGTGGTATATAATCTGATATGGTTCGGATCAGGCACTCATCCATTTTTAAAAAAAAACTTTAAAATCTTCACTAGTTATATAAAAAGTTTTTCCGATTTTTTAAATATTTTTGTCTCTAGCATTAGATTTGCCCTCTGTTTAGATTTAAAAATATTAAAAGAAAAGTTTACAAATGATATAATACAAGTCCTGCTAGAGGCCCTTTCACCGTAAAATATTTTAGGAAAGAAAAATACAGCACACAGTTTATTTATGTAAATATACAAAATTTCCTGGGTTACCCAAATAAAAAATGTTGTGTAATTTTTATAATTTCAAAAAATTTAATATAGGAAATGGACAAGGAACATGAAATTATACTTTTAAAGGAGCGTTTTTCTAATTCTGAATTTAAACGACAACTGTTGGAGAAAAAAATTTTTGAAATTCAATCGGTTATTTTTATTTAAATATTTTAAATTACTTTAAGTTTTTTAAATTTTTTCGTTTATTAATCTAAAAAACAGCCTTTGGAAAAAGTCCACTAAAACACTAATCATGTTTTTAAACCCTCCCAGTTTATCCTATCGAAAAATCCGCTTAATAATATTCTGTTAAATTTATTTCTAATTTGGAACGTGTCTGGTGATTTCGCCAGTATGCGATTTAGGCAGTAACCAATTAGAGTAGCAATAAAAAATAATTCTGAGTGATTTGGTCAATAAGTAATTTATGTGATTTCAGTATCAATTTATCGTAGTTATCAACCATAGTGGTTTTGTTTTTCTAACCAGGAAGGATTGAAAATTCCTCTTAAGCCTTATAAATCTCCCGATATCTCCTCAAAATCCTCCTAATCTTTCTTAATTTACAATTATTTTTTAAAAACGTTTACTGCCTAAATCACTCACTGCCATACTGGCGAAATCACACGGCTCCATTCAGAATTACAAAAAAGAAATCGGAAAATTGAAAGAAAAAAATTCCAATTTGGAGAAAATGAATTCTGAACAACGCGTACGAATTCGTGAATTTGAAGAGGAAATTAAACGTTTAAAGTGTTCTACACGTAAAGAAGATAACGGTGGACTTGCAAATTTTGGAAGTGAAATTTGTAGTTTGGAGATTGACAACAAAAATAAACCTGAGGGTAGTACTTCAGCGGATATGCATGTTTCTTCAGTTGAATTAATGGTTAAATTTTTAATTGAAAAATAGAAAATCTAGCAAGGGCGTAGCTGGGCGCTGAAAAAGTGAAATTTTTAGGCCTACGCCTTCTAAAATTCTTAAAATTTTGAAAAAATAAAAATTTAGTTAAAAAAGATTTGCGTTAATAACGTCAGAGTAAACGACAAAATTTTGGCGCACACTCAATTTTAGCCCCTTGAAATCGACCCCCTAGCTACGCCTTTGAAACTTTGATTTAGCCCGTTATTTTCCGGGATAACGTTCTGAGTTATTTTTTTCATTTAAATTTACTAGATTAATTAGGAATATCTATTTTTCCATATTTAATATTTTTGTCTAGGTTTCAAAAATTAATTTAGAATTAAAAGTTAGAATGTCCTTCCGAAAATGATTTGGAGAAGTGTCCAAAAATTTCTTTTACAAAAAAGTTTTGACAATTTTTTGTTTTGAAATTTGGATTTTTTTCGTTCTGTGGCCTTTTTCTCTCCACCACAGATTCTGCGGATAGAATTCTGTGTATGTACACAACGCAGATTCTGTGGAGGGGAGAAATAGGTTGAGATTTTAACATTTGACATCTTCTGGAAGGGAATTCTGGGGTGAATATTCTTGCTCAATTATTTCGAACCAATTCAGTCAAAGTTTTTCAGAAAATAATTTAAAATTAATTTTTTAATAAATGCAAAGGAAAATTTAATATTTTTTAAGATTTCTTCTAAGTTCTTTAATTTATCCAAAACAAACTTTAGGAATTAATTTGCCATTAATCCTATTATAATTATTTAAACTCTCTGATTATCAATTAACTTTTGCTTAATATTCTTTTAAATTTAATTTT